ATTACAATTATTAGTCCGGATCATGAGTCAATTGAAGCTAGATTATCATGGAAAACCTGGAAGCACTGGACAGCTATTTTGTCTTAATGACTGATTATGAACATAGAAAGATTCTGAAAGCTAGTTTATTTCTCTTAAAAACAGTTGGGTTCGAACCTCTCGAGGTTTTCCATGGTGGTCTAGATTCAAGTGATTCATGATCTCAACTGTTGAAATTATTACAATCTCCACAAAACCTCTTCTGATATATATTTGTTTGTATTAGTGACATTTTGCAAATATACAGATAGTAGAGTTTTTTATTAGAATTTACCAATTAACATTCATGTTTGTTAATCCCTAACTAACTAATCGGCAGCATTTATTGTTTTCCTATGTTTATAAACAAACTGTAAGGTACTACCAAGATTTAGTGATGTTGCTAAGTCAAATTTAAGAATAAACTATCTTAGTATTCCAAAGCTGTTGTAATTTAAACTTATTATTTTGTACGTAATTGTATTTTCCTAATTATTGTACATTGTGATCAGGTTAGTCATCATCTATTTATTTATGTATCTTTTTACATTGATCTGAAATCGGGAAATCGGGAACCAGATCGGAATTGGGAATAAATGGAGTAGTGTTGCAGTAGACTTGTCTTCTCTCACTCGTGTGCTTGTCAGCCAATCAGGTGATAGAATAGTTTTCTTCTCTCTACCCCACTTCGAACTTACGTGTAATAACCTCAAGGTTAAGCCGGTTAGCCTATCGCGTCATGGTCATAATCTAGATTAGCCAAGTTATCCTCAGCATCAAAAGTGGGTAGACAGATAGTTTCGATCACGAAATTGACTTTGAAAAATAGTTACTTCGAAAAAAAATTTAAAGATTTCATGTGTTTGGAATGAGTTGATCAAACCTATATGATTGTACTGACATACATTTGTTAATATTTCCAAGTTCAATCAACTCACTAGTTAGCATATTCATCATCCATTGCATTCGATGATATTCACCTGATATCAAGAAATAGATAAATACTCGAGGAATTCTATCTTCAACATTGGGAATTATTTATAAGATTATTTAAAATTGAGCTAAAATGAACATAAATTAATCTGTGATATGGATTATCTTTACAATGAACGGTCTACAAGAATCGTTTTTGATGGAAATTCATATAATTTGTCAAGAAATTATCTTCATCAGATAAATTTCTTGTAACCCAAAAAATGTTCCAATAAGATGGTGGTTGATGGTAGTCAACAGGAAATCCTGAAACTAGGTTTCGTGCTACTTGGCACTCGTTAGCAAGGTGTACCTGTAATCTTTGAGGGAACTGGTGCTCACTGACGTTTTCGACTTTCACTAAGAAGCACCTGATATATATGACACGGATCATCACCCAGTGATCAATCAATTATAAATACATCTCAATCCTAAAGAAGGTCAGTCGTGGCCTGGATAGTTCAGTGGTAACGTTTCTGAATGTGAAGCTGGGTGACACGGGGTCGAATCCGTCATGGAGCATCCGTTACCTCAATATTACAGGTACACCTCGCTGTTGAGTGCCAAGTAGCACGAAACCTAGGTCCACGGTCTCCTGTTGACTACCTCTAACCACCATCTTATCACAACATAGTGCATGCAATATTGATTCATCTAGACTGGTGGCTACATTGCAACTTGGTCGATAGGATTCGTCCTAAACTAAGAAAGACTTGACACACATGACATTGAAAAGTGTAAATTACCAATGAAATTTTACATGCTATTTTCTATGAAGTTAATGGAATTATCGATCAACTAATCAAAACACTCAGTGATAATTGGTATGACTTAGAAACAAAACAAGTGTCAAACAGATTAACTGAGATATTATAAATAACTTTCATAATCAAAAAAGGAATTCCATTTGTAAATCATTAAAAAATGATAATTATGATGACGTGATATTTTGTTGCAGGATTTATTTGTACAAGACTATAATAATACTCAGAAGGGGTTTTGTGGAGATTTTTAGAAATTTCACCGATTTAAATCATGAGTCAATTGAAGCTAGACCACCATAGAAAACCTGGAAGCACTGGACGGCTGTTATTAGTGGTAATCGTTGTTAATGTAATTCGTTCCATTACAATTGTCATCATAGCTGTCCACTGTATCCCATGCTTCCACTCAGATGTTGACGTCTTCATGATCCAGTCGATCACTAGGAGAACGAGAAAGGGTGAGAGTAAGCAACCTTGCCTGACACCGGTCTTTACCTCGAACGATTTTGTCAATTGTCCTCCGTGCACGATTTTGCAGTTTATGAATCATAGGAATTCCGTATGGTATTGACTATCTTCTCAGGCACGCCATTTTGTCGAAGAAGCTTCCATAGTGTTGTTCTGTACACGCTATCAAGTGCTTTCTCATAGTCAATGAAGTAAATGTAGAGTGATGAATTCCATTCAATTGATTATTCCACAATGATCCGTAGTGTTGCGATTTGATCGATCCTCTCGGAGATCAGTCTGCTGATCTCGAAGTTGGGCGTCTACGGAGTCCTTTATTCTTTTTAACAACACCCTGTTAAAGACTTTTACTGGTATTGAGGGAGGAGAGTGATGCCTTTGTAGTTGTCGCACTTACTAAGATCACTTTTCTTTGATATCTTGTTCAGGCGTTCTTCTTTCCAGTCTGTTGGTACTTGTTCTTCGTCCCAAATCTTGCTGAAAACAGTTGTAAGCGGCAGAAGATAAATCATATCATTCTACCTTAATTGTTGATTTTACACTTGTAGTGTCGATTGACATGTTAAGTCAATATACCTTATTCTCGATTTTGGAGAGGCCAATCTACTCATTCTATTTGAATTACATTTTGACCTTGTTAATTATCCACTTATCAATCTTGACTGTTTTTATATGAGCGCATATGTGTGTACATTTCTTATCCTATTCATCACATGTCTGTAACTTATTTTTGTGAATGCAAATATTGATTAACGCTTGATTAAAGGGAGTTGGCTAACCCACCATCTCCACGGCACGTCGTTTCGCTTCGTTCTATTCCATTCGCTTCATATTACAAAATATATGTATTCACAAGTCCATTCTCGTTAATTCCGTTAATTACTCAACGCGGATTAAGTCGATAAAGATATACGAGAATAGTCAGGATATATATATATCGACTCTCACCCTTTCTCGTTCTCCTAGTGATCGACTGGATCATGAAGACGTCAACATCTGAGTGGAAGCATGGGATACAGTGGACAGCTATGATGACAATTGTAATGGAACGAATTACATTAACAACGATTACCACTAATAACAGCCGTCCAGTGCTTCCAGGTTTTCAATGGTGCTCTAACATCAATAGGCTCATGATCTCAAACAAAACCTCAATGATCTCCTCATCCTCATACTGATAATTATCATATGATCACTAGTGACTAGCTTCGTGAGGGAATTCTCGGAGTTCTAGTAAGAAGGCATGACCAGTGGAGCTAATCCATGTCACGTAGAGACAGGTATCTACTTCAGTAAAATGGAAGATGGTCGCACAACTTCGTGGATTGTTTGAGGTTAGATATTAACACCGTTGGATGACGGCTCGGAGGTCTATAATTTAAGCATGCGCGCATGAGACCGAAGGCCCTGGGTTTGAATCACGCGAGCGGGATCGTGGATGCGCACTGTTGAGGAGTCCCATAATACTAGGACGGAACAGCCATCCAGACGTTACAGGTTTTCAATGGTGGTCTAACATCAATCGGTTCATGACCTCAAACAATAGTTATTGTTTGACTCCAAATTGATTATAGTACATAAAGTGATATACTTATTTTCATGGTAGCTTGTTACAGATTATAACAACTGATAATGAACTCTACACGTTTGATAAACAGTACCAAGGTTTATAATTGGGAATGCTTTAAAAAAGAGTAAAATTTTATTGTGATTTTTTGAATCAGATCATGAACCGATGAATGTTAGACTACCATTGAAAACCTGAAACATCTGGATAGCTGCTCCGTCCTAATATGGGACTCCTCAGCAGTACACATCCACGATCTCGCCACGTAAGATTCGAACCCAGGACCTATCGGTCTCTCGCTCACTCGCTTAACTTCTAATTTCAACTAATCCATGAAATTGCTTGACCATCTACCACTTTACAGAGGTAGTTACCTGTCTCTACTCGACATGGATTAACTTCACTGGTTACAGTTTGTCAGTAGAACTCCAAGAATTCCCTCACGAATCCAGTGACTACTGATCACATGATAATTATCAATATGAGATTGTAGAGATCATTAACTTTTAGATTGACATTATACATGTGATTGGTTTCATTGTTAGTTAAATACAAAAATCTAACAAAATTCTTTTTTTTTTATTCTCAATAGGCATAATTATTATAAAACAAAAGTATGCGTTTACTTACAGACATATATATATATATATATATATATATATATATATATATATATATATATATATATACATATCTTAACTTATATTACTTAAATAGAAAGTGATTGTATCTGATTGACGTATAATGAATGAATTACCTATATGTATAGTAACTGTTTTATTATATTCTATTGTGTAGGCTAAAGATGATCATTTTTGTGTGTGTTTTTTTCCTGTTCTTCTTTGTGCTACAACATAATTGTTTCCTTCATTAAAAAAAAGAAGATTGACTTGACAACATATAACCATGAATAGAAAGTAAAATAATAATTCGAATGTTCATAAATGATCTCTAATCAATATGTAATACACACTTTTTAATGAATTGTATTATATATAAAATGAATCATTATTGGTTGTTGGTTCGTTTGTTTGTTTGTTTTTTTTTCTGTTGACTGTAAAACATAAATTGGTTAGCAACAAGAATTATTTCATTATCAAAAAACCCCCCCAAAAAATTTTTTTTTCTTTTTTTTGTTATTAGATAGATAAGGAAGAATAAAACATGGACAAACTTTCATTTACACCGGAATTATGGACAAAAATATTCATTGTAATCAATAGTTTATTTGTAGTAAGTAGTTTATTGTTTTTGCTTTTTTTGGCTTCTCATTTTTTTAAAATCATTTTTTAGGTATTTAGTTTTATTATGTTTGCCTTAGGTATCAGTGCCTTAGATACATTACTTAAATATGGTACAATATTACAATTAGCACCACCAGCAATATATGGAACGGTTATATTTACTGGATTACTTGGTATGATAGCTGCAGCTGTTGGATTTTTTGGTTTATGGAAAAAAATGAAAATTATCGCCTTTGTGGTAAGTATATATATATATATATGTTATGTAATCATTTGTTTCTTTAATATTTAGCATATGATTAGTTTAGGTATAGCAACATTGATGAATATAAGTATTGGTATTGCAGCAGCAGCAACTCAAGATAAAGTTAGTTGATGAATACAATTATACTCTAATAGATCATTTTATAGTATAAAACAGATGCTCAACAATCATTACTCAGTTCTATTTCAAGTTATAATCAAAGTCAATATTCATCGGAATTCGATAAATTACATACTACTGTAGGTTATAGTTGAATGAAAAAAAAAATGATTATTTTATTATTATAGTTCTATTGTTGTGGAGCTAATTCATACAAAGATTTTAAAACGTATAACATGAAGATACCACCGTCTTGTAGAGTTGGTGAATTGACCTATGCAACAGTAAGTAAATAAATATTTATCAGTTATGTTCCATACCTTTTTTTATGTTCCATGACATATATATGCTATGATGGTTCCATAGATTTATCGATTTTTTTTTATCATTATCTGTTTACAATTCCTTCGATTGTGGTTACGAAGTAGATAGCTTGAGTTATTGTTAACTTTTGACCTGATTTACAAAGATCTCTATCAGCATCGACAATCAATAAACTAAAGGTTGAATCGGATTATGTAAAGTATTCATCAGTCATATGTTAAATATCAGATAGAATACTGAGTTAGAAAGTTATATCTACTGGGATATAAATTTGATTTGGTATTTCGTTTAGATAATATAATTAATTTTGTTGTAGTCATTCCCATTAACGTCAATTTGACCTAGTTTTTACTTAATTTAAATCATACAATTCTCTAGCAAATGGATTAGTATTTCAAGACAGTTATCTTAATTTTCTTATATTATCTCTTTCTAAACAATTGATATCTACTTTATGGTTTGTCAAAATACTTAATATCCGAAAAGGTTCTGTGGAGATCTTAGTAATTTTAATAGTCGAGATCATGAATCAATTGATGCTAGACGACCATGGAAAACCTGGAAGCACTGGACAGCCGTTTCGTCCTAGTATGGAACTCTTCAATAGTGCATATCCATGATCCAACTTCTCGAGATTCGAAACCAGGTCCTATCGGTCTCACATGAGAACGCTTAGCCTCTAGACTACTGAGCCGGTATCTAGCGGTGTTAATGTTTAACTTCAATTAATCCACGAAATTCAGCGACACATCCACCAATGTCTTTAGTTAGTTACTATCTCACAATTGACCCGGTTGAACTTTACTGGTTACTTTTTCTTAGTAGAACTCGATGAAATACCTGTTGAATCCATTCATTAGTGAGTATTTGTTGATTAGTATTAGAAAGGGTTTTGTGAATATCATAATAAGTCAATTGAAGCTAGAACACAATTGTACCCTTTATTTTCTACCGATTGTACAAATGTTCAAAACACTGTTCTATATTTCGACTTCTGATTACTTCGATGATTAGCAGTAGAAAATGAAATAATTAAATGATCTGTATGAATATTTTTAGTGGACATTCTATCATGACAATTATATTAATGGTATTAAGATCTAATTAACTGAATTTTTATGATCCTGTATTGATTTATTTAGTTATTTTAACATAAAGATATTGGTACAAGGAGGCACGAAATATATATATATATGTGCCACACAAATCTCATCCGATATGTGTGAGGGCTGTGGTACTGCCCGGGTGCCCAAACCGAAGCAGGTGGTTTTCTTAGGGGGCCACTCCCCGAGCCTTCGACCTGAAGGTCTGATCCACAAGGCAGTGGAGCATCATAAGGAGATGCAGTCCCATGGTAGACGGTGACCAACAATTGCTTCATACGCCATTTGTTCCTTCAGGATACTAAAGCCCATGTGCACCATTGGTTTGAAATCCGGCTAAAGCGCCAGACATTCGGTTTTCGTTCTCTCATTTTCGTAAACAACAGTAGTGCCACGAGAAGGCAGTGAGTAGGACTTCTCTGGCAGAGGCTATATACGCGTGGCCATGCGAGAGCATTTCGAGAGGGAGAGCGGACTCTCCCCACTCTCAGCCGTACCAGGGCATTTGGGTGCGATCCCGTATTAGTTAGTCATTGATTATAAATCAATTAATTGTTAGGTAATAATTAACTGGACAAACTATCACTTGTTTAAACCGAATTCCTAAAATGATCTGTTAAAATAGAGTTGAATATTCATGTTTACAAAACCAGTAACTTAAATATAGTTTCTTAAAATATTGAAAATTCTCAAACTCTATTTTCATTATACCATGAGTTCTCTTCACTTCTAATGTATTAATGAGTGATCAATGAGTGATTTTGTGAATGCTTATATGTTGATATAACGGAGAAGAGTTGTACTTCAGATGGTTTACTTTACTGAAATTTATGCTGATGATGTTAAAAAGTTCAGTAAAGGCTCCACAACTAAACTATCCAGCTCAGAGAATGAAACATGATTTAAAAAAAAGATATTTGCATACTGACTGAATTCAACTAATACAAGTATCCAATGTGAATATAATTGTTAACCGAATTAAACGTCTATGGCTAGTTGTTTAAATTAGATTAAAATATACTTGTTAGTTTACTGTCTATTTTATGTATGTATGGATGTATTATTAGTGGCTTTATTCGATATTATAATTTTGTTACAATATAGAATTCTCAACAAAAAGTATTTCAGATGGGTTTTGTGGATATTATAGTAATTTCAATGGTTAAGATCATGAGTCAGTTGAAGCTAGACCAACATGGAAAACCTGGAAGCACTGGGTTCGAACCTCGTAGGGGGCGAGGTTGTGGATGCGCACTGCTGTGGAGTCCCACAATAGGAAAAAAATATTTCAGCAAGTTTCCATTTCTTAATTCTTGATCGATCCATCCGATAAATACTAAGTGGTCTCCAGTTACATGTTAGCAGTCCAATTATTCGACATCTGAATAATGTATGTTCTTTTCGATGTAGATTGCCAACAACCACGATGTCTTTGATTTGGCTCTTTTGTAAGTTGTAGAGTGAAATGTCGTAAATGTTTCACAAATACAGCTGAATAGACTATAAGACTAATAGGCATAATGATGTATTAAAACAAACAAGCAAAAAGAGATCTTGTTGAAATATCCAAGTGGTTGGAACAGTTAGGCTCAGATATTGAAGCAAGTGAAATTTAGCGTTTAGTTCTAGTTATGTTTCATATCAAATCCTTATTACATCTCATATGAATTGAAACCAGCCTTCATATGATTGTGAGCTATTCTTGTTAAAGTAAATTCATATCAAACAGACTAAATTCAGCATTAAATCTTCTTTCTCATATTTATCTAACATAATTTTCATTCAATTTTATAGATATAAGTAAATCTGAAAGTTGACGAATTATTAAGGTGTCCTTGTTTAAACTTACAGCAATTTTACTGTACTGTAACATCTTTTAAGTTTGTTTTTTTTTAAAACTTTTTTTGATTGAGACCACCATTGAAAACCTGGAAGTACTTTATGGCTGTTTCGTCCTATTGTGGGACTCCTCAGTGGTAAGTACTCACGATCCCGCTCATGGGGCTTGAACCCAGGACCTTCGGACTGGCGTACGAACGCATTACAATTGAACATGTCACAATCAACTATTTTTAACGAAACTTCAATAGGTCTTATCGATACGTTATGTATTCAGTCATCTTTTATTTGTCTTTATAATTATACCAAATGATTTCAACTTACCTATGGTTAGATGTTCTTTGTTAGTGTTTTTTATTTTTATTTTTATTGAAGAAGAGAGAAGGTAATTCAGTGAAGAAAAATTTTCTTTTCGGCGATTTTATTCATTCAAACTGTACAATTGTATTATAACCAATTTTATTCGCTCCAACAGTGTTCTATAGTAAGATAGAAAAGTGTTAATTAACCCAACTTTTCTGACAATGTACAATACTAAAGAGGGCTTCTGGTGACTCGGAGTGACAGGAATTCATTAGATGTTCCATAATTGATCTTTTGACTAACATATAAAGGTAGTATGTATCATCAATCGAGATTGATATACCTGGAGGTAGAAAGTTAAGAAGATCAAACAAAAGAGAATGAGAATGATTGGTATGGAAACGAAAGAACAATAAAGTCTGAGATGATTGACTGATATTTCACAAATGAAATATTTACTGTATGGTTCTTAGATCTTACTAAGACATTCTATAATTTTGCATTCGAATATATTTGATTGTCCCCATTTGTCTTCTCCTTTAATACAGTAGTATGGTAAAATAAATGTCTTTCTTAGTGAAACGATATAATACCATGGAGCTAAAATACAGTTTCTATGGGACAACATTTTATCAAAGTGTTCATCATTTGATTCATTATTCAATAGCTGTTTGATTTGACTACGTTACGGCATACCATATTCAACTCAGTCGTATTTCCTTCTTAGTGATCAGTTTACTGAGTTAGATTGAAATAGATCAGACTCTAATATTGAGGTCAGATAGTTACTTCTTATTCAGAAGATCATAACATTTAACACTGAGTTTTCTTCAACATTTCATGAAGAACAATTGTAGTGAAGGAGAACACTGGTGAGGACGACACCGTAGAGTTACTTGGTAAAATAGAAAAATCATACTATAATACCCAATTCGCAAAATGTTCAATAATTGTCTCGGACTTCATTGTTCTTGTATTTCTATACTAATTGCATTTTATTCCCGTTCCTCCTTTCTTGGTTTTCCCAATCTTCTGCTGCCAGACATTACATTCCTGACTCGCATCATATACTACATATATCAATATAAGTAGCACGCACCACACAATGTCTAGTTCTTTTGTCTAATCAGTTTTATTACCTACATATAACTTATGAAATTTCCCTTTAAGCTTTTTTCTTATATTTACAGGGTTGTATTGAAGAAGTAACTGGCTTTGCACAAAGTTATACAACTATATTAATAGCTTTATGTTTTATCACAGCTATACTTCAAGGTGCCTATTTGGGTATTTCAATATGGATGATTCGTAAATCGGATGATGGAGTAGCTTTCGCTGCATAAACATTGTATTGAAGAAGAAAAAAAAACGTTTCATTTCGTTTTGGTTTAAACAATTCAAAAACAGACTTCATTTCTAAGAAGATATCATTCACTACTTAATGAATTCACTGAAGATAATAAAGAAAAACTAACAAAAATATCAATTTTTTTTATTCTCATTCGATATTGATTCTGACACCTTTTCTAGGCTGAACACATTCATAGCGGGTTGATTGTTTCTTAGTAAAAACAAAAAAAAAACACAACAACAACTGATCTTATCAACAATAAATGTAAAATGGATGTTATTTATTATTCTATCCATCAATCTACCGATGACTGAATACTATTATCATTGACTATATCATTACTACATATTCAGTGAGTCTTCATAAATACTGTGTCATTAGTATTTCTAAGTTGTCATAGTAACCATATGTAACCATTTGATTGAAAATAGCTTTTAATATATATGAATCTAAGAGAATTACCGAACATATCGATCAGGGTTTTTTTTTCAAATGTTTTCTGTGACATATTTATCATTTCTATTTACTTTTATTTTCTCTGGTTAACGTTTTATTTTCTAACGAGTTAGTTTTTCTACTGGGATAGGGTTGCTAACTCCATACCCAATCCTTCTCGTTTATCTAAGCTTAGGATTGGCAGTAATCTTGGAGAGACTCCAAGCAGAGTTATTTCTACTTACTTACAGTATAATAAGTCTAGCATATATTGTCTTATAACTCCGTCTGGAGCCCATCTGGCCTTACTGCCGTTCCCAAGACCTGATAAAGGAGGAGGGTTGAGCATAGGGTTAACGACTCTATCCTAGTAAAAAAAAAACTAACTAGCTAAAAATAAAACCCTAACCAGAAAAATGTATTATCTTATATTTAATGAAAGTCGAAAAATGAACATTAAAGTAAATTATGATAACGTAAGTGTTTACGTTGTTACTAATTGATTTTTATGTAAACGTGTTATGAAGAATTTTTCAGTCTTATCACATGGTTAAGTGAAGTGTTACGCTTTCTAAATAAACAAAAAGACAAATTCTTCGTCATACAGAAGTGTATTTTATTGAGATGTAACATGTTTAATTGATCTCATTGATATTGTGTTATGGTTTGATATAGTTTTATAAATTTAGAAGAAACATATTGATGATTAAGATAGAATTATATGTGAATATTTAATTTTTGATTCATTCAATGATTCTTAGAAGTATTGAGTAATTGTTAGGTTTAAGGCTATCACGAGTTCATTTAATCGGCGAACGAGAACAAAGACTCACTGACCAAAGACCAGTAAGCTAGCAGTTTGATGAGTCATAGCCCCTCTAACTAGAGGTAGAAGTCCAAACTTGGATTGGGGAAGTATGTTCTGCAAGTAGCCAGAAACGAGCGATAACAACAAACACAATTCAAAACGTATATATGCAGTGCAAAACCGTTCTTCGGGAGAGTTATCAAATAGGATACTAAAAGATGCAACGGATCAATATCACTTAAGATATTTCCCAGTAGGAACTACGACATGAAGGTGACAAGAGTGCCTTTGGCACGAAAACAAAGAAATTCAAAATTTCTAAATAAATTACAAAATTAGGTCCATTCCCAAGTGAGTTCTGGGGATCTAACGTCCCCAACAGTAATGTTTGTTGTTATGTAGATTGAAATTAGCAATTGATACTTACTTTTCATTTAGGCATGTTACTCATCATGGAGGAGCATAGGTCATTCATCAGCATTTTCTATTCAACACTCTCTTAGGAAATACTTCTCAGTTGTTTCCAGCTGAATTTCATCGTTTTCATGTTTGCTTCCAATACTCAACGCAGTGTGTTCTTTGGTTTTCCTTTTTTCTGTTCTCCTTCAAAATATCAAGTTGGAGCTTGCGTCATGATACAGTTTGATGATTTCCGTAATGTATGCCATATTCACTTCCAACGTCTTTTTGTAATTTCCACTTCATTTAGAAGCTAGTTATCCAGTCAACGAACATTGATTGTCTTATGTAGACAATACTTTATAAATACGTGTACTAATTGTTGTCGTAGCACTCCAAGTTTCAGCTGCATATAGTAAAATACCTTGACACGATTTGATCTGTGCACAGTCGACACTTACGGAATTCGGTCTGTTGATCTTGAAGTTGGACGTATACTGAATCCTTCATTCGGTTCAGCAACACTGTTAAAAACTTTTCCTGGTAGTGGTAATAGTGTGATATCTATGTAGTTCTCACATTTATTCAGATCTCCGTTCTTTGGTATTTTGATGAGCTATCCTTCTTTCTTCGCTCTCCCAAATATTCCTGAATTGAACATTGAGCATACTTGCAGTTACTTCTGTGTGTGACTTCAATGATTCAGTTGGTATATTTTCAGGTCCTATTTCTTTACCACTCCTGATTTGTTTAATGATCGCAAGTGATTTCTTCGATCTTAGGCGGAGTGATATCTATAAAGAGTTCTGTAGGTGCTGCTTCGATATCCGGCGAATTCAATGGAGTCGGTATATTCAGGAGTTCCTCGGTTCTTAAATCCCAGTGATTGACTTGCCTTCTTTATCACTGACCAGTATCTCTGGTTTACTATATTTCCCCACCAGTTTATTCATTGTGCCATATAGTTGTTTCATATTTCCTTTTCCAGATTTTTCCGCTGTCTTATGAAACACTTCCACGTATTTCTGCTTGTCGGTTTTAATGATCTTCTTCATTTGCTTGTTTGCGTTTGTGTATTCGGCGTGTTCCTTGACTTTCTCTCTTCTTGTTCGACTGTTGTTAATTGCTGTTTTTTGTTCTTTCTTTACTGAACTCTGTCCAGGGTTTCAATGGAATCCATTATTTTCGATGATGGTGGTTGATGTCCAGCACCTCCTGACACGTCGAAATTAGTTTTTCTTTGATTCCTTTCCGGCCGCCCTACATAGTAGTCTTCTCTTCATTCAGTAGATCTTGTAAGGCTTGTAACCTTTTGTTGAGAGTTACCTTGCATTGGTTGAGTTTATCAGTATGTCGAAGGACTAGTGTATTTGGCGTCAGTTTCATCTTTGCCACAACCAAGTGGTGATCTGAAGCCACCTCAGCTTCATGATCTTTATCGTCGTCGTTGCTATCATTGGTGAGTGCATAACATTGGATAACATTCATTGTGATTCCCTCATACTTTGTTCAGAAGGATGCTTTGATGGTCCTGGGTCCACGAACTTCCCATCCTATGAGTGCATTTCGTGCTTCTTTGGACAACATCAGAGGAAGTACTCACTTTTCTTCTTCATGACCAGAGTACAGCAGCATCTCTTCCGAATCTTTCCTTTTCTGTCAGCTTTGGCTCCAGTTGATTTCACTTATTCCGAGCACTGTCAAGTTGTATCTCCTCATTTCCATTGCTATTTGTTTGGTCCTCCCGGTCTTCTGCACTGTCCGAACATTTCATGTACCTACATTAATTGTTGCTTTGGTTGTTAGAAGGAACATCGGTCATAATTCTTTCTTGAACTTGGAGGACAGAGTTTAAGTGGTTGAAATTGTTTATTCTGGTTGGCGTTTTTTAGCAAGGTTGTTTTCTACGGGGTGGGGGTTGACTTCTCTATTGAACCCAAGCTGAGTGGAAAAGATTGGATTCTGGAGGCATGATGTATTCTGGACACGAAGAAAGAAATATCTCTCACAAAAGGAGTTGCACTAATGCTATCAAAAGAAGTACGAAGATCACTTATAGGATGAACACCAGCTGTATCCAGGATCATTCAAGCACTATTCGGAACAAACGAACAGGGGATCACAACGAATTCTGTTTAGTACAATGTGCACATGAATGGAAGGAGAGAGGACGATAAAGGTCAGTTTTATGAGACGGTGGAGTTGGCCGTAGAGAAGTGCTCAGGAAAATGACCTGAGCATTTTGGTAAGTGACATAAATGCTAAAGTCGCTGTGCACAATACCAGGTATAAAGATTTCATGTGACAACACGAACTGAAAAAAAGGAACGAGAATGGTCAGATATTTTCAAAATTATCATCCTTCAATAAAATGGTTATAGGTTATGTGGAGAGCAGAACCAAACAACATACCCCCTGAAGTAATGAAGTTGAACATAGAAGTAACTACAAACATGCTCCACGTTTTGTTCGTGAAGAATAATACGTGCTGACACACCGGAAAGAAGGATATTTCATCAAGATACCAAAGAAAGGAGATCTGAACAAATTTAAGCACTACACAGGCATCACACTATTATCACTACCAGAAAGGTTTTTAACAGTGTTGTTGAAGCGAATGGAAGATTCATTAAACACCTATCTTCGAGATCAACATACCGAATTCCGTAAGCGTCGACTGTGCACAGACCAAATCGCGATATCATAGATCATCGTTAAACAATTAAATGAATGGAACTCGCCACTATATATCAACTTCCTTGACTATGGGAGAGCATTTGATAGTGTGGATAGGAGAACATTATGAAAACTTCTTGGACACTATGTAGTGGGTAGCTGAGCAGATCGTCAACATCACCTGGAATTCATACGATGGACTACATTGCAGGACACTGGAGGACAGCTGACAGATGTAATTCAAATGAGGACCGGAGTCATAGAAGGCTTTTTATTGTCTTTTTCTCTCTCTTTCTTATTTTGCTCTTTCTTCTGGTGGCCGATTAGATTATCAGGATCTTCACATCTAGGAGGAAGCACGGAATACAGTGGACAGATTGGATTCAAATAGATAATCGACCTCTTCTATTCCGTACACACAAACAAAGCAAGTAAATACAACAAGAGTAGTAGCATCCTCTACATCAGTAGGCCTCAACATACACAAAGTAGAGGGCGCGATCCGGAAATACAACGCGAAAACACCGACCAAACCAATCAGTCTTGATGGCGAAGCTCTGGAATAGGTGGAAACGTTCATGAACCTGGTCAGCATTATCGGTGCGAAAGTTGTCCCGATCAATATCAAATTTGGCATTTTATTTATTTTATTTATTTACTTATCAAAGGAAGTCCATGCTCAAATTATCGGTTATATCTGACTGGAATAATGTAACTGCCCAAATCGGTAAACAATCCTGGTTGATTTGAGTTAATCGACGGGAAAACCTGTATAAAAAAATGCTGCACAGTATTTGGTATTCGTGAAAAAATTATCGATGTCCGAACCCATGTTATTCGGCCTCACAGTTAGACCAATAACCACAGAGCTATTTTCACTACTACCGACATCGTGTACTACTGAGATTTTATCATTGATTAATCATTGGTTGGTGACTTATGACATTCACTTCCTGAGTAGATCAATGATAGTACCTCAGAATGTAAAAATCGGTGAAG